AAACCTCACAGCTTACCAAATGCTCTATGTTCTCTGTTTTCTTTTTGCATTTAATGCATTTATCCGGTTTGTATAGATCTGGCTTTCTTCGGTTGAGCTTTTCAAAAACTGGCAGAACATTGTTTATACACTTTACTTCAAAGAGCTGTATAGTGTTTGATCTATCTGTATAATTTTGCTGCTTAGTTTCACTTTCTAAGATTTTATAGAAAATTGGCCAGTGTTGAAGAGTTGTTCTTTCTTGATGTATTACATTTTGACTATTATGTGCAAAAGTCCATTCCACTCTATTTATGACTTTGCCAAACAATTTGATGAAGAAATATAAAGGCTTTTCTATAACTTCATCTTCCCACTTGTATCTTAGTTTAAATTCTCTCGTGTCTAAAGTTGTAGGGTTTAAAATCTCTGTAGAATGTGCATCTTCTTTGGCTTTAAGATCTGCCAAATCATTAAATATGTCTCCTAAATGACTCTTAATTTTTGTAAGATGTAGCATCAGTTGCTTTGTTTTAATTGCTTCAACTATTGTTGTGACCAAACCCCCATTCTTGGACTTGAACCACTGTCTTGCTTTATTTGCCTCCAGGCCTTTTTTGATTGCAAATATAGCTATACTACTATCTGTTTTTATTTCCACTTCTTTTTTTTTAGAGGTCACCAGTAGTGCTACCAAAATTGCTACTAATTCCACTCTTGTTGAAGAGAACTATCTTTTAGTACCACATGCTATTTGGCATATAATCTGTCTTTCTAATGTCATTTGTACTATTCTACATCTCATAACCATTCCATTACTAATCATTGATGTTTCGAGTAAGCTATCTGTGTAAAATAAAAATCTATCTATATTTTTATTCTAAAATTTCTACTAATCTATTTCTAAGTATTTTATTTTCAACTACCTTATCTACTAAATGTATTTCCCACCTTAAACAATTTACCAAAGGCACTTCTTTTTTTCTAGCTAAGTGTAACTCTTTCGCCATTACTATTGTTCTATCTATTTTTTCACTTGAAATTTCTTCCAGATAGTGTGTATCAAAAATTATTTGTGGACCGATTTCTGTTTTTTGTACTAAGTTTGAAATATCTCTTAGTTTTCTACATTTTACTAGCAATAGTGCTTGATTTTTGGCACATTCTAATATTTTTGATTCTCTTTTTATATCTGGCTTCTCTATCTCTATATAACTTTCTACTTCAGCGTATTTCTTTTCTTTTTCTCTAATTCTCCCAATTCTGAATTGTTCATGATCTTTATCTTTCCATATAACCTATTCTTGTCTTCCTTAACTATTTCTGTTCTTATTTTGGGTGTGTTTGGATTATTTGTTTCAAGTTTGTATATAGGTTTAACTTCTCTTGTTGCTAGATCCTCGATCATTTCTCTTTCTAGTATATCAAACCATTTTGCTTTTTTCCCTCTCAGATCTAGGCCATTTGATAGCTTAATTTGTTTCCATATACACATTGATTTTCTATCAAACGTTAAAAGCTGTGATGTTAACCACACTCCAAATTTACTTGCATTCGTTTCTTTGTAAAAAAGTTGACCTTTTTCTAAGATTCTTGCAATTTCGAGATCCTTTGTTATTTGGAGAAGGTTTAGGTTCCAACTTCTTGTATAATTGCTTTTTTCTATTATGAAACCTAAAGATTTTGCTTGTTGTAATATTTGTATACCCAAGTTTCTTAATTTTAGTTTTCTTTTTTCTAAGAGCTCATGGTTTGTTAGTATGCATTTGGTTGAACCTGCTTTAAGCTGTTCCTGTTTCAACCTTATTACTGTCGATTTTTCTACAACACTACCTGTGTTTAGTTTTATTGCGAGTTCTGAAAAATGATGCTCTATATGTCGATTCCAGAGGCTTTTAAAGTTTACTATCTCTGGATGTTTTGTTATCACATTTGCTGCTATGGATGGCATTGACATTTTCCACTTTGTAAGATGTAACATGGGTTGGTGTATTTTGTTACACTGAGCTCTAGTTAAGCAAGATAGCATAAGTCTATATTCTAACATAGGTATAAGGACTGTATTGTTTATATATACTATCTGACTAAGTGACATTTTTTTATATTTAAGTAAGCCTGTTATCTTGCTTACTTCTTTTTTTGCCTTATATATATCTGACTTTTGCTGGTTTTTGATTGAAATCCAAACTCCCAGGAAGCGTGTCACATCTTTTAGCTCCTTGGCTATAATCTTCAATTTTGGGTTTCCTATCCATATATAAAGATCCTCTTCTATTCTCTTTTTTTCTGGCTTTGCTACTACTAACTCTGTCTTGTTTGGATTTATTTCAATGTCATTTAGTTTGTAAAACTCATTTGCTAAATTGATCATTTTTTGCATACTTTTCTGGTCAAATGAAACCCATATTGTATCATCTGCATATGCTAATACTCCAATTTGTATACTTTCACCTATGTCTTTTTTGTTAATGTCTATATTATTATAATGCATTTTATATTCTAATTTTGTATCTTGTATTCTACAGAGTAATGGGTCATAAAACATCCTCCAGACCAAAGGAGATAGAACCTCTTCTTAATCTATTTCATCTCCTGCTTTGAAGAACTCTGTATTGCCATATTCAGTTATAATGCTTAGTTTCTATTTTCATATAGATGCACTATAAAATCTACTAGCTTCAGTGGGAGTTTTAGCCTTTTTAAAGCTTTTCTTAGAGCTATTATACTTACTGAATCAAAGGCTTTTTTCATATCTTGGTACACAATCCAAAGTTCTTTATTTTCTTCTAATGCTTCTTCTATTATATTGTTTATAATATGCACTAGGGTTATTGTACTTTTTCCAGACAAACCTGCAAAATTTGCACCTTTCAGTATATTATTTTCTCTTATAACTTTATTCAACCTAGCTTGTACTACTCTCATTAGGACTTTTCTACATGTTTCTAACAATGCTATTGGTCTTGTATTACTTAAGTTGTATTCCCACAAACTTCTCTTTGGTATCAAATATAATTGTCCTAATTTCCATTTATCTGGGATTTTACCGTACTTCAGAATAGCATTCATAAAATTTAGCAATCTTTTTGTTGACTTTGTAGAAAGTTTTTTGAGTAGTATATAGCCTATGCAGGAAATGCCAAGTGCTGTTTTATTTTGTATTTTTCGTAAAGCTAAAGCCCACTCTACATCTTCAACTAGATCCATTATATTCTCATACCAGTTTTGATTTACGTCCTTCTTTGGCTTATACTCTTCTTGCCAAGTTTGACTTATTTTTTTAAACTTTTGCTTTTTTTTTCTAAATTGCTTTTGAAAATGTACAATGACTTGTTGTTTTACTTCTATTTTATTGCTAATAAGCTCTTGATTCTGGTAATAGGAGTTTTCTTCTAGTAGTACTCTATCAATTGCTACTTTGTTGTAGAGTCTATTTAAAAGGCTTTGTAATATTCTCTTTTTGTTATTTTTCATCATACTGAAGCGCTGTTCTACTTTATAGCTAATTTCTTTTTCTTTTCTTTTGCGCTCTTCTGCTTCTGCTTTTTTCTTTAGGACTCTTCCTCACTTTTTTAACTCATCTACTTCTACAAGGCTCTATAGATCTAGTAATAGCGGAATTTGTGTTTGGTGCAATTGATTTATATCTTCAATTTGTATATTAAGCTTTAATTGGTCCTCAAAGCTTATTTTTTTCTATCATATATATTTCTCTCTCTTTGCAGCTTATGTAAAAATTTGAGTTATTATATACATTGCATTTTGGAACTGAAGACCTGGCCTGCATCTCCGTCTTTTTAACATTAATCCAAGGAATATATTTCATCGCTGCTTTTAATATTGCACTACTTATAATTTTCCATTTTTCATTAATTTTAATTTCGCTTTTCTGGACATTTTCTTTAGTAATAGGTGTTTTTTTTGTATTCAGAATGGCATCCACATGCTTGCTGTAGGACTCCCAGCTTTCTTCTGTTGCTTTGTAATATAAAAAAACTCTTCTTGTTGGTATACTTCCTTCTTTTCTCTGAAGTTTACTATATTGCAATATTGCATTTATTTCTATTTCTGCCTAGACAAACTTGTAATCACTTCCCGTTAAAATATCCTAATCTATAATTTCTGCTTTCATGATTATATTTTGAAAACCTTCACCTAGCTATATATAATTAATTCTTGATGCCAAATTGTCTTTTTGCCAGGTGTATTCTTTTTTGTGAGGATTTATATAACGAAAAGAGTCTATGAAATCTCTGTTTCTAAGCCACTTAATTAAGGTTTTACCAAGCTTCTGATTTTTGCGGCCATTATTACTTGTGTCCATACTTGTACTACCTACTGCATTAAAATCTCCTATAATGCAGGTGTACATATTAATCTTATTTTAACATATTTCTCTGATTATCATTTATTGAACTTTCTTGTTAATTCTCTTATCTGAAGGTAGTAAATATACTACCCAAACCTGAATAACTACCTTTTTAAAAAAAAACTTAGTTCTAATTAAATACAGACTATATTTTACCACTTTGCCTATATGCTTTGACCACTTCTCATTAACTAACAAACCGACCCCTGAACCTTTGTTTTTATCTACATCTTTGGGCATCCAGAAACTAGTATAACTCTGTTGCTTTATTTCTATCCACTTTCCTTCTTTTTCACCTATATTAGTTTCTGCTATACCAATTATGTCTAGCTTTTCTTCTTTGGCCCAATCTGCTAACCCTACTAACTTCTGTTCATTCAACATAAGTCTATTAATATTTTAAAAACCTATTTTAAGTAACTCAAAGCATATATTTTCCCTACAAGCCTCACTTTTTTTAATTGTATTGGGTGAAACTAAGGCATTAGTGAGGTGTTTTGCTTTGCCCAAATTCTTTAATTCAACTGGGGCGACTTTTAGAATCTCATCACAAGTAACTACTCTATTGTTCTGAATTTTTCTTGTATATCTACTAGCAATTTCTCAATTTCAAAATTCTCTTCTAACTCTACTTGCTTGCCTTTTCTTTTACCCAGTTCTTCTTTATTAGAGCCTGTTGCCACTACATTTTCATCTTCTTTTGCAATAAAATTAGATACTTCTTTTAGTAGCTTTATCATGTTTCTGCGTGGTCTGGAAAGCTTATTTGCTCTATTAATTTGTTTAATATTATTGTAGCTTTTAACCATTTTTTTAACTCTAAGTAATTCTGTTTCATTTGATGATCTCTTTCCCTTGTTACTATACCGATCTTCTTTTTTATAACAGAATTGTGTATTTGTTTAGTTTCTTTTACCTAGGTATTCTATAGATATTATCCAATGCAATTTAGTATTATAGTAGTATAGACTATAATTTTGGGCCTGAATAAAGTCCTTCTTCGTTTTGAAATATATAAAGGCTCTCTGTCTTTGGTTGCTATGACAGTTGTTTAGAATATGCACTGCTTGTACTTTATAATTTTTAAGTTGATGCAAAAGCAAACTATTATATGCTGTTGAAGATATGTTAGATATTACTCTTCTATATTTGTTTCTTTCTTCTAATTCAGCAATATTAAACCTTCCCGGTGTAGTTCTATATGTTTTACCTGTATCTAGTTGAATCAACCACTCTTTTTTTAATATTTTTCCTTTATACTCCGAATCTGCTATAATTTTAATATACGCTGCTTTGGTGTTAAAATTTTGTTGCCATAGTATCTCAAATATTCTTTAATTTTTGGTGCATCTATTCTTCTTGGTAAATCTCATAACGTAAAAAAGTATATAGGGTCCTTTGTAATTTTTTCCAGCTCGATTTTATTTTTTGGGGCCTACACTGAGTTGAATATATTTTTATATTTCTTGTATTTTTTAATATTTAGTTTGTCTTCTTTTTTCACAATATATTCATTAAGCCCATAATCTATAGTACCACACTCTGTCTGAACTAATATGTCTTTTACCAGTTCTATCTTTAATTCTGACTTTGTCAAATTTTTATATCCTGTATAATTACATTTATGAGAGTTATTTTGTTGTTCTATTTCTGTGTTCTAATGTTGCCAACATTAGAAGCTATTTCATTATCAGCTTGTGATGGAAAAGTTTCCATTGAGATTTAATAGATGTTTTAAAATTTATAAATAAAAATATTATTTTACTTTTTTAGAATCATATTATTTTAATTATTCTATATTGTGTGATTATATAGAAGTAATTTTATTAATTTTATTTAATTACCCTTTTGTATAATTACCAAAAAGTACTAGATAAATTTGGTGATTATATAAGAGAAAAACTGTATATATTATTTAAACTTATACTATTTTTTATAAGTATTAAAATTAATAACTTTTTTTAAGAATATAGTGACATAGCATAGTAGTAGATAGGGTTCCTCAAAGTCAAATCGAATCGAATATTTATATATTTGAATTTGATCGAATTGAATAAGCTCTTGATTTGAATTTGATTTGCTCAAATCAAATTCAAATTAAATCAAATTTATTTGTAACTTTTATTAAGTATTTTTGAATTGAATCGAATATTTTGTCAATTTGAATTTGATTTGATTTGAAATTTCTGTATTTGAATTTGATTTGAGATCAAATATTTGATCAAATCAAATCAAATCGAATTGCGGAACCCTAGTAGTAGAGTTGTCACACCTCCAAGCTAGAACAACGCCAGGGAACAATGCCAGGGCGTAGGATCAATTTTCTGATCACATGATTTTTCTGACCCAGATTACGTGTTTTTGAAACAGGCTGGCCAATTGAATCATGTTATCAAATTTCATTGACTTCTAATTAGCGAACATAATAAATAAATATTCGAGTGTTTTTTTTTTTTTGAAGCACGAAAAGAAATTTAAAATAACCAATAATATTAATTATAAAATTTGGGACAAATAAAGTTTATTTGATTTGGCTTTATTATACGATTAATAATAATCCAATTTGTTCTCTACTAATTAAAAACTAGTCAAAGTTAAACAGATTATGGGTCTCTCGAAATATTTTTCAATGTAGTGAGCTATTTCTAAAGTTTACCCAGCCCTTATAATAATTTTGCCCAAGATTCATGTTGCGAAATCGGATATTAATTTTGCCAATTAGCACAACTCTTCGATAAAAAAATAGTGCCAAATAATTGATTTCTACTAATTAAAATTGAGTTACAACCTATTAATTTAGGTGCTTGTACACACACCATATCTCAAGAATGCTATAAATATTGTATCATTTGATAAAAAAAAATAAAATTATGTTAAAGTTTGTAATTGTAATTTGCATAAAATATATTCACCTGATTCATGCAATTCGTAAAATTACGAAAAATTATAGTAATTTCAAACCCTAACCACGATAATCAGAGTCAAATAAATTAAAATAAATCGAAACCAATATATTAAATAGATGAAATTGCTTAATCATTATCTCATTTTTATGTATTCCAAAATGCCTATATAATAAATTTGTTAGTGAAGTAGAATTAAATAATTAATAAATTTTTTTTTAAAAAACTTATCTATTACAATCTAATCAATGTTCTAAAAAAAATTATTCAAAGTTTTTATCTTGCAGTTACGATCTAATAGCCACCTACACCTCTTGTAATTGTGTACTTCACCCTGAAGCATTTATATATAAAAATAAATCATATAAGACATGCGCCGAATACAAAACTATTAGAGCTAAAAAGAAAAATTCTGAAAAAGAAGCTGATACTAATAGTGAAGAAGCCTCTATTGAAATAATTGCAATTAATGAAATTAGTAATTATATCTCTGATATGATTGATGGATTAGAGCACGATACTGCTCTATTTTCTGTTTTTTATGTTAAACTTGATGAACTTACTTTTAACACCGTTGGTGTGGATGTTAGAGTAATGGCTAAACTGATCATTGACGAAATTGAAGAAGAGGATGATTTCAATTGGACGTAAGTAAACTACAAAATCAAAACATCATATTACTTGCCTCAAGTTTTTTTTTTAATTCTAATTTTTAATCCAATATTCTAATTATATAGTGTTACAACTGCACCAAATATTTTGTCACGTCAATAAAGGCGTTGGTAATGCATATTTTGCATGTTCTCAAAGTACTGGAATTGAGCGTGAATACAAAGATTCAAATCACAAAAGAATCGACCGTTTTAATTGTAGTGGCAAATTAACTATTAAAATCGACCTTTTAGCTGCAAAAGCAAAGTAACACTGCAGCATAAGTTAATACATGAAAGGCTCGTTGATATTGCAACATCTTCAGAAGTAAAACAAGAAATTATGGAAAACCTAAATATGGACCCAATACACTTACGAACCCATCTTAGAAAAAATTTTGATATATCTAAAATTACCTCAAAACAAATTCACTACTAGTGGTCCTATTATACACAAAAGTTTTATAAAAGTGAAGAAAATCACGTTAACTCTGTGTGTAGTTTTCTTGAACAGCAGCAAAAGAATAATTATAATCTTTGTTTTCAGGTAGAAACTAGTTATATTACAGCAATTGGGTTTACAACCCCCTTGGTTCATTCATTACAAAATATACTAGAGATCCATTGTGATACTACATACAAAACCTCAAAGGGACGTTTCAAACTCTATGGCATTGTTGAAAATTTCAAATGTGCTCTTTCTTTTCTTTTTTCAGATTAAATTTCGCCACTCATTCATATTTGAAATTATTATAAAATAACTATAATTATTAATACACATGTGTAGGTTTCTCTTTAGTTTACCTCATTCTTGACACGATGAAAATTAGTAATAAAACACAAAAAAAATTGCAGACTGAAGCTCTTGAAAGTTTTTTTGGTGCCCTTTATAGCAAAGGTTTACATCCTATCTACTTTTATACTGACAAGGACTTCACCGAAATAAATGTAGCGAAAAAAGTATGGCCGGCGTGTAATATACAACTCTGCCTGTGGCATATTAAAAAAGCTCTTAAGAAAAAAATTAGAAGCAAAAATAAAATCAAACGAACTGATTATCAATATGAGGAAGTTGCGAACGAATTTTCTTTTGTTGATCCTTCTTTCAAACCTGATCTAAAACATAAAGATAAAGAATACTATATTATCTGTTTATCTAATCTGCATATAGATATTATCAACCTCGTCAAAAAGCATTTCAATATGCATCCCAAAATTCCAACTAGTGCTAATGGTCAATTTTTAACTTCTAAAGAAATAAAAATAAAGGTAGTTCATGAAATATATAAATTTTGCAAAATAAATAATTTTGTATTACTTTGGGCATATTTGTAGTGTGCCTGGTACAAACCTTCCAAATAGTGTCTCTGGGGTTTTACACAGGAAACAATTCCTCTTGATAAAACTAATATGATGATGATCAAGGCCCATTGAGGTTTTAAAACATAATTATCTTTATCAGTTTAACTTGATTATCTTATATGGATAATTTGCACTCGAGTATTACCTGACCAAATTACCCACCTTCAGCAAATTTCACTTGGCAGAACATCTCCATCATGGTTTGAGGACTTTAAGAAAGAATGGAAGAATCTTGCTAAGAAATCAATTGACAAAGAATTCAGTGAACGTTATTATGTTGATTTGAATTGCTAGATATGTAGTTGCTTCTATTTTCTTAATAGCCGTTTTTTAATTTGCAAGCATTTGATTAATATAGTACTAGAAAAAATGGAGTCAGAAAAGCAAGATGTTCGATTAGTTTATTCTAATTTTAAACGACAGACTGAATATCTATTTTTAATCTAGGATGGAAGTGAAACTCAAGACATAACTGAAACTATTCCAAACTTAATACCATATGATCCATCTTCAATAAAGAGTTATACTGAAGAAAGTACTAATAATATAGACCGACGTCAAGAAATTGAATCTAAAATAGCTTTATTAAATCGTTTAATTGATCATTTAAATATAGAATTGACAAATAACAATTAACAACATGTAGAAGCAGTTATAAATAACTTAGATCATGCTTTTATAGTTATTACTGATATAGAGACAGCACAAAACAGGCGGTAGTGAATTTCTACGTGGCGGGATTAAGGTCATGGATGTTATTTTTGCCTTAGCGTAATAGTAATAGATTTTTTTTTTATTGTTGTACAAATTTGTTATAAGTAATACAATGCATAAATAAATCAGTAAAAAAAAATATATCAACATGTGTCAAAAGTAAAGGTCGAAGAGCACATG